TTACAAACTAAACTGTCGGCGGGATCTTAGATTGCATCTCAACAACCTTCCTCGGCATCTCTTCCAAGCTCTCGAATTGATCATCAAATTGATTTTTCATGGATAAAAAACTTCCTTCTATAGTGGAGAACCTTTCCTCCATCTCAGCTTTGATTTTAATCATCTCTTTCTCTAACTTTTTTTTTCTCTAAATCATCCACTTAGTTTAATGCCATCACTCCCAAAAAAGTTTTTGATCAAAAAGCATGAAAACACTTTCACGCTAAAATCCCATCAATTATTCGCAGGTTTGTATCGTAAGAACGTATGCCCGTCATCGATCTGAATAGCTTTGGTACAAGTAAGATGAAATACAGTAGCTTCGTACGTGAAATCGTGTTTGTGAGTTGAAACTAGTTGTAGAAATCATAGAAATCATGTTTGTTGAAATCAAGCACAAATTAGCGCGAGCTGAGAATTTAGATGGTAGATTTGGGTCTCGGTAGCGAGCCCGTTCCTTGATAGCTCAAATCGCGTCACTATAGCCGCGATCACGTCATAAGGCTCGAACACCATGAAACCGGAAAAAACCATAGTTTTAGGTCTCTGTACGCCGCTTCCCTGTCACTGCTTTCCCAACTAGCTCTAATCGCGATTGTATCTCATAGAAGACGCGAGAGGAAAATAAAAAATGGGATTTTTGTGCCTCTGTACGTGGTTTCTCAGTCGATGCCTTCCCAGGTAGCTCTAATCGCGACTGTACCGAGACGAGAGAAAGAGAAGTCGGAGCTCGAGGAGAAAAACGAGATTTTTGGGCCTCTATATGTCGCTTCCCAGCAGCTACGCACTACGAGACGTCGGAGCGAGCGATCCTATCATACAGTATGTTGTAATCCAAGCGAACAAATCACCTCCTTTACGAACCTTAAGCTAAATGTTCAACCATTTGTTTACAAAACAATCTTTAAGAAAAAAAATCATATATTTCCACACCACTCAAATAGTTCAAATAATTCCTTACCTAAATTCAAACAACAATCTTTCCTAATTTCATAAACTTAAGTACATAAAATCCTCCAAAATTTATCAAATCCATTCATAAATCAATTCACTGAACCAACCAGTATGAAACACCAATCTATCCCAAACTCCTAGATCAAAATAACCCAAGCACTTGGCAAACCAATAACCAACCTAACTCAATCCATGAGCCATAAGGAAAAAAAAAACAAAAATAAAAGAACAAATATTGTTGGGACTGATTAATTGGCTTGGTTAGCTAATTTCTGATTAATCAACCCAAATATTTATTTTGCTTGGAATAAGATCATCGATAAATTGTACAATTTGAATGAAGACAACCTAATATTTAAATATTTTCGAGAGCAAATTGAAAATTTCAAAGGAATTTGACATGAAGCATCTACTAACATGCAACATATGTTGTGTTGTCATTCTCTATAAGATAGTGATTCCAAAGTCGCTTCTTCCTTAGGATAAATTTCCCTTTGACTTTTTCCCCTCATGATGTCTTTTCCAAAGACAAATTCCAATAACTCAGTATTGCCACAAAAGACCATCCAATTTTTTCTCTTGCAACATCCAAATACTTTGAAAAATAGTTTAACACATTTGTGGTTGGATGGAGAATCATCAATAGATTATTGTTATCATTCACAGAGTTTACTTTTATATATAATTATGTAATGTTTATGTTTATTGTCTAAGCCAGTTTTATTTAAATTAGTAAGTGTACTAGCATCCTATGTTGTCTGTGTACATGTTTATTGTCTCAAGATTTGTTTAGTTTAGCATGTTAGAAACCTAATAAATGGTAACTATTTCAAATTTGAACCATCTATTATAAATGTATGTACAATGTTATTTAATAGTATGATCTTTTGAATAAAAAATTATGATGGTTTATTTCACCTTTAAGATTGCATATCAACTGCAATCCTCAATCAACATTGGTCCCTTTTCTTCCTCCCTTATAAAGTCTCTCTCTCTATCTACTCAACGATCCTTTTTACTCCTTCCTCAAATGTTCAAAGTTCTCACATTTAATCCATTCTAACTCTCTATCATCAAAGGATTAAAATCAAAGAATGATTGATCATTGATTCAAACAATATTATTATCATTATTTGTATAAATAAATACAGAGAAAGACCAAACAAAAAATGGTTCAAGAAGCCCATCATCATGACAAGGTGTGTGTGAGGTCATCTTCCAATGGCAACCTCAAGATCTGATGTTCTAAATTAAAAGAGAGAGAAAGAGAGAGAAAGAAAACACAAGACGCAGCACCACCATGAGAGTAAATCTGTCCAATCTTGGAAAAGAAAAGAAGGTTGAAGAGATCAAAAGAAATAGGCACATGAACTTTACTGATCCTAAAATAAAGAACATCAAATGATAGATGTGGTAGTTGTTGTTATCAAACAATGGACAACACTTTTGCACTGAATTCAATTTTTAGCCCTCCCCCCCAACTCCTAAGGGTTAGTATTTCAAAGAAAGTGCAGAACTAGTTATTTTAACAAACAAAAAACAAAGTACATCTAACCAAAAAAAAAAAGGTGGATTTTATTTGTAGAGCCTCTGAGCTTTTATTGACTGCCATTTGCAATCCTCACACTTTAAAATAAATTAAAAAATATATTTAAATCAGAGCAACCAAAACCTGAATATACCCCACCCAACTGGATTTGCAATAAAGAAATTTGAACCCACCTTACAAATGAAAAAGATTCTTAAAAACCTATCCTTCTATGGTTGACCCAATCAAGTTAGTCAAACATGGACACAAATTATCATTACAAGCTAGCAAGGATTAGAAATAATTAAACAAATAGAAAACATTGAAAGATCGAATGTAATAACATGACAATGATCTAAATTTCAAAACTCATACTATAGAAACAAAAAAAAAACATAATGAGCAACTATAGTGTTCTTGGAAGACAAATATTACTGTAGAATCTTCAAGACCATAGTGGAAGTTTAAAAGAGAACTCTTCAACCAATTGAAATACCATTGGCAATAACATTGAAAATAGGAATTCACCATAATGACAACAAGGTTAGACCAAGAGCCTAGAAGTTCAAGGTGCGTGGGCAGGCATCCTACTAATAGGACTTGTTGCAGAAGATATGCCAAAAAATAAGTTGAAAATCGATGATTGGGAACACATGAAAAAGAATCCAATAAGCTAATTTCATCAATTCACAAAGTTGGCGCAAATAAGATTGGAGGGGATTATCCTGGAATAATTGCCTCAAAATAATGAAACAAAAGAAATGTTATCAAAATGCCAATAAAGTTGAACCAACTCAAATGAAAACTTTTAAGAGAATGTATATGAAAAGAGTGAGATTGAAAATTAAAACCAAGACAATGATGTGAAAGTTATCAATGATAAAAGTTCAATACAAGGATAGCCTAAAGCATTTAAGTACTCCCCGTTCTCAAGAACTATTCATAAGAAAAAGATAGACATATCTCAATGTCGAAAATAGGTTCATTTGAGAAGTAAAAGAAAAAACACACAAAGAGAAAGAAAGAGAGAGAGTTTGAATATCAGAGCACGATTGTGATCAAATTAAAAAATTAAAGATTAAAAAATAGAGTAAATGCACAACAAGCACTCATGGGATTGCATAATAAGATTGTAAATGACATAAACTTAAAAAAAAATTTATGCAAACAAATAAATATTGAAAATTGAGTAATTGGGTATTGATGTGTTTTTCATTCATGAGGTGAGGTGTAATCTTAAAGGCGTTTTTAGGCGTAAGCCTCAAATTTAAAAATTGTGTAAATTAATAAATATTATATAAAATAGAAAGTGTGAAGTAAGAAATAATATATTAATATTATAATTTATTAGCACATAAAAATGTAAAATAGCAATATTCTAACTAAATAAACATAATAAATTGTTTTAAATTAAAAGCACCATGTTAATATCCTAATATTAAATTATGAAATAAGACGGATTATACAAACATTAAGCTATCAAAAAAAATAAAAATATTAGAAGAAAATATTAAAACATCGAAACATAACAATCAAAATAAAGTAAACATTATTTTTTCCTTCTCACGCATAGTACCTCCACTTAAACAAGAATATATCAAGTCGCCAACATTTGAATTTTTAATTTAAAGTCTCTATTACTCTCATCACCAAATTGATTTTCATTAGAATCATTGGCATAATGAATTGTTTATCTCGCACATTATCCTTAGTCGTAATATTATCTCATTCCTTATTATTTGTAATCTCAATAATTTTCTATTTTTTAATGAATAATCATCAATAAAATATATTAATTAAAATAATAACTATTTTGATGATTAGAATTCCAACTACATAAATTTTAACAGATAAATTTTTCTTTTAATTATTGTTGTTTAGTATGTGAGGTGCGAATGTTAATAGAAGAGGTATATTGATATTACTTTTAGCTTTGTTTTTATGGACAAAAGCAAACATTTGAGGCTTTTGTTGAGGTGGGGCATGCCTTGAGACACACCTCATATTGTGCAATTTTAAACTAGGCATACAATGAAAAGATTTTATGAATTTGAGTCCATGGACACCGAGTTGAATTTGATAGCAAGAGAAGAGGACAAAGTACAGAACTATGAAGTATAAAGAAAGGTCTGGGTGATCATTATCTTTTCCAATGTTCTACAGAATATGTATCCTCTATTATTGATTTTCCTACATGCCTTGCTTCACCCAAAAACAGAAGTTAGCCAAGTTTTCGACATATATGAACTTTTTGAATGAATAGTCATAATAAAAAGCATCCCTGCAATCCTTCTTTCCAGTCAATAAAAATCCCACCAGGATTTCAGACGAAAGCAAATGATTCTGGTATCATATACTATTTCATGAACTATAGCATATCTGAAGTATGTATTGGTTACATGATTTATTTTATTGCAAGCTATCAGTAATAGCGAGTTAAGAAGAAATGAGAATAAAACCAAAAGAGCAACAGGGATACCCGGCATTTGACGAAAGCATCATAACAAGATCTCCTTCTCTAACACCAACAGAACCTAAGCGATCCGAGTTACGAATCTCCTTCCCGTTGAAATGGAGCTGTTGCTGATGTAAAGCGACACTAGTCTGCAATCGAAATTTTCAACTGAAGCGAAATCCTCAAAAATTATCACAAAAATTAAAGCTTTCCATGAGAGGAGAACTTTTCTAACTGCCCACCTCCACCTCAAGAAGCGCCTTCACATTCTCAACCTGCATGCCATAAGTATTCAGCCATTGTCATAATGATGGAGATTAACAGAGTCAATAACTTAGGGTTTCTATGGATTCTTACAGATTCATCTTGGTCGACGTCGAGGGTGATGAATTGTTCATCTGCAGTCATGACAGTAATCTTCATCTTAATCGCCTCCTTGAAACGAAAAGCGGAAACCGGTTTTTGTTGATTATTATAGTAACAGTTTATGGACTCCCGTTGGATTCCTTGGGAAGGGGGAAGGGGGAAGGGGGAAGGACGCTAGGACTACCTAGTTAGATCTTCACGGTCAACCTACTGTCAATTAATTATTTTTACGAAGGGTTTATTTTGTCCGGCTTTTCAAACTAACATTTATAGTTAAATTTAATTTTGATTTGAAAAAGAAATTTAAAATTATAAATAAAAAATAAGACCGCACTAATCTCAAGAATATTCAATGAATCTCGCTAAATATATACCAAGGGCTAACATTTATAGTTAAATTTAATTTTGATTTGAAAGGGAAATTTAAAATTATAAATAAAAAATAAAACCGCACAAATCTCAAGAATATTTAATGAATCTCGCTAAATACATACCAAGGATTTGCATCTGGAAAGTCAAAAGACGGAGCACTAAGCATCGTTTCCTTCAATTAAAATTGCGATCCTACCGAATGAAAGAACTGGAAGCAACTAATCTGAGGAGCAGTCATCTATAGCTAGATCTCTCAACTAATTTCAGGATTCTTCACAAAGATGACCAAATGGCACTCTAATTTCCTCCAAGAAGGTCCCTTGTCTAAGGAGAATTGTCTGTCATCACATTACAGTTATATACTCTCTGCTGATGATCCAAGTTTACCCTAACGACAAAAGAGCTTCTATCAATGATTCTCAAGAGGAGGTCGGTCGAAGACCTTCCAGCCGATCGAAGATCTTGTAGTTGACCGTATGGTTATTAGATGACTGAATGACAATACCAGTGGTTTATGAATATGAAACGGTGTCAACATCAGTTATGGATATTAAAGGGTCCTGGAGTCGGATACAAATACTAAAATGTGTAATAATTATTTGTAATGTCCCTATTAAAACCAGGATAAACATGTAATTTTACTAGAAACTTCTATGATCTATAAATAGGGGGGTCTTTTCTTTAAAAAAACAACTATTAAATTCACCCTCTCAGAACATGTGTTATTTTACACTTTGCTTCCTCTATTTCTCTCTCGATTCCTCTCATTTGTCCATCACTGTATACCTTGGTTGTGATCCATAGAACGGTTTTGAATTCCCATTCTAAAAAGTGAGAGGAGTGTGAAACCATGTCATTAAGAAGAAGATGGGCGTGTAACGAAAAAATAATGCACTTGGAAGAAACCTCCAATGTGAAGTTCATATGAAAATTTGTGCAACAACAAATTTGGGAATTCCAAGACCAAATAGTGAGACAAATAGGATAATTGACCGGCTTAATACTCGAGGGGAGAGCACAAGTGTCGAACCCTTGAGAAGAATCAAAACCCCAAGTCCATCAAAAGGCTAAGGGAGCCTAAAAGAATTGAGGAATCCTAGTATATGGACTGTATTGGGTCTAAAATAAAGTTCAGATTACGATTGGGGTGGATGGAAGTTTACCTTCAGTTGGAGAATATGTTCTTCTAGCATATCACCGTTGTCGAGCCCCCAAGAAATTCAAAATTCCATCTTCGGAATTCAAGAGTTGAAGTGATCTAGTTGACCACATAGCCTCCTTCGAGTTGGCCGTATGCTTTCTCAAAGTCTCTAGTGCACTGAAATGTCATTTATTCTACACCACATTGAGGGATTCAACCCTCAAGGTGGTTTAATGGCTCCCGACAGAAATTATCAACTTCTTAAGTGAGTTTAAGAACTTGTCCATGGTGCAGTTCCCTAATGCCCTGAAGCCCGAAGGACTCATATGTCTTATGGCATGTAAAACTGAGGATGAATGCGCCTTCAAGCTTATGTCACTCTATTCAAGAAGGAAATATTGGAAGTGCAAAATATGGTGTTTTTGGTAGCACAAGCAACCCTAGCACAGGGGTTAAGAAGTGCACAATTCAAGTACTTTTTGAGCTTTCATTAACCCAACAACTTAGCTGAACTCTTTGAGTTAGTAAACCACCATATCGTGGTTGAGGAATAAGTTCACCTGCCCTACTAAAAATGTGAACAATCTGATCGCTGCTAAAGAGAAAGGGCTTGCAAGATGATGGGTGGAGGGCAAAGGGTAGCCCACGTTCTAAATGTGAAGGAGGCTTGTCGTCTCGAGATGATAGTTGTAATGTCCCTATTAAAACCAGGATAAACATGTAATTTTACTAGAAACTTCTATGATCTATAAATAGGGGGGTCTTTTCTTTAAAAAAACAACTATTAAATTCACCCTCTCAGAACATGTGTTATTTTACACTTTGCTTCCTCTATTTCTCTCTCGATTCCTCTCATCTGTCCATCACTGTATACCTTGGTTGTGATCCATAGAACGGTTTTGAATTCCCATTCTAAAAAGTGAGAGGAGTGTGAAACCATGTCATTAACAAGAAGATGGGCGTGTAACAAAAAAAGAATGCACTTGGAAGAAACCTCCAATGTGAAGTTCATATGAAAATTTGTGCAACAACAAATTTGGGAATTCCAAGACCAAATAGTGAGACAAATAGGATAATTGACCGGCTTAATACTCGAGGGGAGAGCACAAGTGTCGAACCCTTGAGAAGAATCAAAACCCCAAGTCCATCAAAAGGCTAAGGGAGCCTAAAAGAATTGAGGAATCCTAGTATATGGACTGTATTGGGTCTAAAATAAAGTTCAGATTACGATTGGGGTGGATGAAAGTTTACCTTCAGTTGGAGAATATGTTCTTCTAGCATATCACCGTTGTCGAGCCCCCAAGAAATTCAAAATTCCATCTTCGGAATTCAAGAGTTGAAGTGATCTAGTTGACCACATAGCCTCCTTCGAGTTGGCCGTATGCTTTCTCAAAGTCTCTAGTGCACTGAAATGTCATTTATTCTACACCACATTGAGGGATTCAACCCTCAAGGTGGTTTAATGGCTCCCGACAGAAATTATCAACTTCTTAAGTGAGTTTAAGAACTTGTCCATGGTGCAGTTCCCTAATGCCCTGAAGCCCGAAGGACTCATATGTCTTATGGCATGTAAAGCTGAGGATGAATGCGCCTTCAAGCTTATGTCACTCTATTCAAGAAGGAAATATTGGAAGTGCAAAATATGGTGTTTTTGGTAGCACAAGCAGCCCTAGCACAGGGGTTAAGAAGTGCACAATTCAAGTACTTTCTGAGCTTTCATTAACCCAACAACTTAGCTGAACTCTTTGAGTTAGTAAACCACCATATCGTGGTTGAGGAATAAGTTCACCTGCCCTACTAAAAGTGTGAACAATCTGATCGCTGCTAAAGAGAAAGGGCTTGCAAGATGATGGGTGGAGGGCAAAGGGTAGCCCACGTTCTAAATGTGAAGGAGGCTTGTCGTCTCGAGATGATAGAGAGACTAACAAAATTTCTCAAAGGTGGAGTCGATCAAACAACCAATTGACTATTGATCGAGGTATACCAAAACTCACTCAGTTGAGGGTTTAAATTGTGGAGACAATATAAGCTATTCAACATAAGGAGTGCTTAAAAAAAGCTCCATCGATAAGAATTAGAGATTTTTCTCCTAAACACGAATAAATTTTACAAATATCATAAAGACCATGATCATGACATAGAGGAGTGCAAGCACCTTTAAAGCCTAGTCTAATATTTGATTTGTAGTCTAGAAAACGCAAAGAGTTTGTGGTCCCAAGAGCACAAACGCAAAGGTAGTGGAAACCCCTAACAAAAGATGACTTAGATGAGCCCGCTTGAACCAATGTTATCCACATTATAGGGATAGTGCCAGCTATATTGGGAGAAGTTTTGATCAGATTGAACAACCATGAGAAGCTCTGAATGGGGGAACACTATGCTGTTGTTTTCAGTCTAAAGCAAAAGCCTCATCCCCAGTTTAATTTTACTAACACACATTTGTCTACCATGAGGAATATTTACAACAATGTCATAGTAGCTATGACGATGATCAATAATTAGTATATAGAAAGTATTTTGGTTGATACTAACAGTTCAGAAAATATATTATTCAAATCACCCTTTGAAAAAATGCATTTATCCGTCAAACATTTTGTTGTGTCAACCGGCCCGTTGTACGGTGTTTCTCGCAAATGAAAGGATGACCTGGGAAAATTGGGCTATCAGTCACCTGAGGAGAGGGTGATAGTCAATTCACTAACATGTAGGAATTCCTGGTGTTTGATGTGCCCCCCATTTATAACACGATCTTCAGTCGCCCACTACTATATAACTTCAAAGTCTTGGTCTCTACCTACCGTGTGGTGGTAAATGTTTTGTGTGATGGGACATAGTAACAGTTCAAGACAATCTAGAGTAGCTCCTGAGGGAAGGAGTTTTCATGATTTGCATGGCCATCAATTCCAATTCCATTAAGACATCCCATGTTGGTTTCCTATCCCCATTTTTCCTCAAAATTACCAAAATTCCTTGATATCCAAAAATTTGCAAAAATTCTCAAATTCACTCTAAATATTCCCAAAGTCAATCTTAACCCCAGTTGCACCCAAATCCACCAAAATTAGCCAAATTTATCAAATTGCCCCTAAATCCCTAAAGTCCCCAAATCATCCTCAATTCCCACCAAATTTATTCCAAGCTCACCCAATCTCAAACCCAAATTAAATTTCATCAAGTGCAATCCCGATTGAGACCAAATCCAAGCCCAATTTAACCCAATTCCAAGCCCAAAAATCAAATCCAAGCCAATTACCCCAAAATTGAACCCAACTCCAAATTTCACCAAGTTGACCCATTGAACCATTTCACTTCCACTAAAATTGATTCCCTCATGACATTCTTCTAGGCCAAATTGAACCACCAATTGGTTTAGATCTAAACCCAAACTAGGCTCAAAGTTCATGCCCAAGCCCAAACCTCATTTTAAGCCTAAAACCAAACTTTTCCCTAACCATTTGATTTAATTAAACCATAATCTCCCCAAACCATCATATGCATGTGAACTGGCCACCTCAATCCTAGCCTAAACCTATTTTTGAGCCATGGACCAAAGGTCCCTTGAATCATGGAAACTCCTCTCCTTATTTGGCTAAACCCACTTACCATGCCATCAGTCATCAAGCTCCCAAGGTAATCACAATTAAGCCTTCTCTTTGAGTCAGCTAGCCACCACCTTTGGCCTAG